TCTTTTCCCAGTCTGTGGGCTGTCGTTTTGTCTTGCTAACTATGTCCTTTGCCTTACAGAAGATTCTCCGTTTCAGGAGGTCCCGTTTATTAATTGTTGATCTTAGTGTCTCTGCTACTGGTGTTATGTTCAGGCTGTCATCTCCTATGCTAATGTCTTCAACTATCCCTCCTTTTCTCTGCTGTCATATTCAGTGTACCTAGTTTATGTAGAGATCTTTGAACCAATTGTACTTCAGCTTTGTGCAGGATTATAAGTATTCAGCTATTTGAATTTTTCCACATGCAGACATCCTGTTTGACCAGCACCATTTGTTGAAAATGCTGTCTTTTTCCCACAGTGCATTTCAGGATTCTTTATCAAAAATCAGTAGTACATATGAGTGTGGATTTACTTGTGTGGGTTAATTTCAGGGTTTTCAATTCTATTCCATTGGTCTACCAGTCTATTTTTGTGCCAATACCAAGCTGTTTTCAGGACTATAGCTCTGTAATAGAGCTTGAAGTCAGGGATGGTGATGCCTCCAGAAGTTCCTTTATTGTACAGGGATGTTTAGGCTCTGGGTCTTTTGTTTCTCCATATAAAGTTGAGAATTGTTCTTTCAAGGTCAGTGAAGAATTGTGTTGGGATTTTGATGGGGATTGCATTGAATCTGTAGATTGCTTTTGGAAAGATTGCCATTTTTACTATGTTGATCCTACCTATCCAAGAGCATTTTCTAGTATCTTCTTTTATTTCTTCCTTTAGAGAGTCAAAATTCTTATGATGCAGGTCTTTAACATGTTTGGTTAGTGTTACCCCAAGGTATTTTATGTTGTATGTGGCAATTGTAAAGGGTGATGTTTCTCTGATTTCTTTCTCCACCAATGTGTCATCGGTATATAATAGGGCTACTGATTCTTTTGAGTTAATCTTTTATCCTGCCACTTTGCTGAAGGTGTTTATCAGCTTTTTTAGACAGGCCATTCAGACTACAAGTTGATGCACCTGCCTTTGGAAGTTCTTGCTATATCACTTCAATACCATGCTTTCAAGAATGCCTCAACTCAATGCATGGCTTTCTATGCACAAAGACACTTTAACACCATTGTTGCACTATGAGGACACAAAAGACCCTTAAAATGTATGCACACATTTATGTGCACATATTCCTTACTGTGAAACTGAAGGCAGTGGGTGATTCTTGATTGGCCAGCAAGAGTAACCACATTGTTTTCCTTGATTGATGGCACCACCTAATGGTCAAAGTAAATAAATAACTTTTGTATTGTGACCCATCAAAAACGAATCTTATCCTGACTTTTAAGTGTGGACCATGATTAAAACATATGCATTAATCAAACCAAAATCCAGAATGATCAATAAATTTGCCACAGAACTTGAAATGGGAAAAATAATATACAACTTGACTGTAGATGTCAGAACCAACATCCTTGGTCCCAGAACTTTCTTCTAAATTTCTAGAGGATATGGTGCATAACTGTCCAGTATATCAGTACAGTGACTAAGAAAGGTTATTTCTGGAAGGGGGTAAAGGAATTTCCCACTAGTGGTGTCCAAAAAGTATGCAAGAGGCAGCCCGGTGGAAGACAGACTAGAGGTGGGCTTCTGGAACAAAAGGATGTATGCTCTTAACAACTGAGCATGTTTCTGTCAGAGAATTCAGCCAGAAATCCTCCCATTCTTTGATTGGACTGCAATGTAGGAACAGTGGTCAGCAGATTGTAATGGGGCACACGGGTCAGTTAGAGAAAGAAAGAAGACACATTAACATTGAACTGAGACCAGCCAGGGCACGTGCTAGACAACAAAATCACTGACAATCAAAGGGCTGGGTCTTCAATTTCTCAAAGCAACATGCTTGCAAATGTGCTAAGTAAATGTTTACAGATCCTAATCCCAAGCAAAACATGATTCAAATCCCTCCACTCAGTGAACAAGTAAAGAAAAATCAATAGATATATGAAGATATCATTACACTAGAATCACTGGACTCCAAAGGGGAGATAGTAAAAATTACCTCACTTGTGAAATGTAGACAAAGTCAATCTATACAACTTGAATTTTAAATTTTTACATATGTGTTGCTGCTGATGCTGTGTGTGTGTTTCTATGTCTATGTCTGTGTATACGTATGTGTGTTTATGTGTATGATTGAGGACAATTTGCAGCAGTCAATTTATCTTTCTACCATATGGGTCCTGACACACATCAAATCTTCAGATTTGGGAGTAAGCACCATTATCCAACTGATCCATCCTGCCAGCCCATGATGTTCGTTTCTCATTTGGAACTCAATCCAGAAAATTCCATATAATTCTGAAAATGAAAGCATTCAATTCAGCAAGAGAGGAAGAAAAGCCTGGAAATCAAATGTGTTTTCCTTTTTCTTTTTCTTTTTGGTTATTTGAGACTTCCTTTTTCTCTGTATTCCAGCCTGGCCTAGAAACCAAAACATGCCCTAAAGTGACTTGAGGCTGCACTCTTTCTGCACCAGCCTTACAAGTACAAGAAGACACAACCCACCATGCCCAAAGCTCAAATATAGATCTGTAATTAATAATGTAAATAGAGAGCAGAGCATATAAAAAAAAAAAAAAAAAAAAAAAATATTAAAAAAAAAAAAAAAAAAAAAAAAAAAAAAAAAAAAAAAAAAAAAAGGTGCCTGTTCCTTGTAAGGCAAGACTTCTGTCATTAACGTGAGATGTTTCTGTTTTGCTTATTTTTCCCCTCTGGCTTTCTGTTCAAGATCTGGAAGTTGTCCTTTCTTTTCCAGATACATGTGCAAAGGCATAAGAAAAGTAGTGATGTACATACAAGGTAAAAATAAATAAACTGTAATAAAACACTTAAAGAAAATCTAATAATGTAAAGAAGTCTTAGTAACAAAATATGTTGAGTACTGGACCAAATGTTTAAAGAGGCCAAGACACATGGACATGACCAATGTGCAGAATGTAGAAATACTCCTTGAAAATTTTGCTTGTAATTCAAGTGACTTTCCTGTGGAGCATCAAAATTCTTGTTTGTCTGTATTAAGCACACAGAATAAGAATCAAGCCAAGGCCTGGCAACATTTGCCCATGTATTAGAAAGCCATCCTGAGGAACATGGAAGGAAACCATGTTCTGTTTCTGGACCCAAGGGATAATGGAAAGAGAGACAATATGAAAATAAAAACTGTGTGTAGTAT